CCGAGAGAAACATCACCATGCAACATAACTGCTGCAAAGCTATCACGTTTATTCATGCAATATATTTTCTTCTTCAGTTGGTTACATAACAGGAAACATATCATATACATATATGATGCTTCAAATGCCATGAAAAAAAAATGGTTCAGTTGAATTATGGATGTTTGGTGAATTGCATGTTTTACTGTCCCGAAACTATTCAAGATTATTTCCAATTCACCAAAAAATGTATAACAGTGCAACGTTTTGTTCTGTATGAGTTGGTACTTGATAGTATTATATATGATATGATAATATTTTGAGGTAAGAAGACAACTTCAGGTTAGTTTTCTATGAAGTTTTTTTTTTCAGATTCAAAATTCTAATAGTGTATTATTGTTTCCATTGTGGATTTTTCATAGTGATATTGAAATATCTCGAAAACATGTTCACCATTACACCAGTTGGGTAGAAGCAGAGGTGGAAACGCCGAGGGTGTAATATCACAAATGAAAATGATTCAACCTAATAATTATATATGTCTCTACATTATCTATCTCTATATGACCACACTGCTAATGTGCTGAATCTGAAGAAGATGTCCAATTGGATTTTGAATAATGTATTTATCTGTGACTTTTAGGAACAATTTGGAAGACTCTGGGATCATTGAACATTCCATGATACTACTATTGGCTCAATAAATGACTAAATAAAACAAAATTCATCATTATTAATGCCATATTACGTTTTCCATGAATCTTTCAATTCTTAATCTGGTGCATCATGAAAAATTATTGGCAACAAAATGTCCAATCACTCGAGCTTGAATCGTCATCCTCAACAATCGTAGAAAATATGGAGGCTACAAGAATCGATTTCTCTTACATGTAAAATATTAAATCTCCAAAAGATATATCAAGTAGGAGGCTAAATATTTAGTTCAGGTAAACGAGAATCTACAGACTGACAAATCTCACCAGCTGATCAACAGCTGCTGACTACTGATGAAAATCATGAAAACGGGTTCCGCATTACAGCACTGTATTTTTGATTTTATATTTCGAACACAAACAGTACTGACCAGTTTGATTCGGATTATAGCCATCATATATACATATACTATTATATTAATTCAGTGCGTCTTACTTCTGATGGAAACACCCCTGTATCTTTGGTAATTGTTCGAGTTAGGATTCTGAAATTTGCAGGAGCAGGAGGTATACTGAAAATACACACTTTAACCAAGTGAAATCATCTTCAGTGAAATACACTACTCGCCAACAGCCATGGAACCACCCACATTTCCAGTAAATGATATTAGGAGGCAAGGTAGGTTGAATGGATTCGAAATTCGAGAGTGCAAATTCACTGGTTTTTTATATTCTTCCTAAAAAATTTTCAGCTCTGAGAATTTAAATTTTGCCTTATTTGTATGGCAGTACCCCCGTATCTTACGTAAATTAACTTCATCTTTGGCTCCTCTTTGTCTCCTGCAAATTTCAGAACCCTACCTAAATAATTACGTAAGATACGAGGGTGCTTCCATGAATCAGAACTGAACATTTTTTTCACAAAAAATTTGAATACTTAGTGAATTGGATGTCCTGATTTCGAATCCGAGAGGATTTTCAACCCATCTTGCCTGCTAATATCATTTTACGGAAATGTTGATGGTTCCATGGCTGTTGGTGAGCAGTGTATATCACTGAAGATAACTCCACTTTGTTATAGTGTGTATTCTCCTTGAGCTCCTTCAAACTTTACAATTTCAACTAAACAATTACGAAGATACAGGGGTATTTCCATCAGAAAGTGAGACACACTGTATATGCATGTTGTATGAGATTTCTTAAAAGATTGTTGTTGTCCTATCATTTTGCAATAATCAACTACAGGCGAATTTGAAAAATAGCTCAGCAAATATTCTAGCCTTTTGAGGTTCTTCATTAATCTACATCATATATTTATATTCTGGAACTTCAATAAACATTTTTTATCATTAGTGTTGAAAAGGAATATTCTCAGATAAATTATGGACAATATGGACATACAAAAATGGATATATATTAATATGAAGCAATACATTGAGAATTTGCATTCTCTATGTGATGAGAATATCTACTCTTTTTCAGTTTATTCAATAGAAAACAACTACTTTCCTGGCTATATGCCACGACGAACATTGAATTATATCTATTGAACACACACGATAAGAGTTCGAAAATAAAATATAAAAAAAAAACTTCTGAAATTGAGAATTTGCATTCTCCTTCAGACAAAAATATGTATATGCAAACATCATTCTGAATATTCAACAGAAAACATTCTGAATATTCAACAGAAAACAACTACTTTCCTGGCTAACATCAAAAATAAAAAATATAAAATCCTCCGACATTGAGAATTGACATTCTTCTTCAAATCGGATGAATAATATGATGTATAATAACTTACCAATATATTCAGCATTGAAATGAAAATTGGAATGTATAGGAGAAGTATACTGGCATAAACTCTGATCTTGATGAGCTTGAAAACTTACAAAAATAATCATTCATATCAGTGATATGGGAAATATTATCATTAGTATTATTATTAATATTATTATTATATGAATTTTCAAGATGAATTAATCGATGCAATGGCAATTCAACCTGTTTTTTGATGGAACATCTTTACAGTAGAAATTCGTTAATGAATATTATAGGATGTTAGACTTCAAAAAATCTGAAATATTGTGGTGAATTTTACTAATATTTTTTAATCATCTGCTACACTGAGCTTTTCAATCAATAGTAACTCGAAATTGCGCATCAGATAGTGGGGCGCCTCAGAAATCTCGCCCAGGGCGTCAATATTGCTAAAACCAGCACTGAATGTACAGGGTGAGCTGGACACTTTTAAAGGAAGAGTCCTATTCTCGAACTAGAGAGGAGAAAACCTGTGCCAGAAAATCAATTCTCATGACAAAGCTAATGGTGACAACCGTATATCGTTATTCGTCTTCGTTTCAGAGATACAAGGTGTTTTTAGAAAATGTGTGTTTTTGAAGTGGTTATAAAGCGAGTTATAAGTATTTTTTCGCGACAATTTTCTGTTCTCATGAAAACGATTTCAAAGCATCGAGTTTAAAATGAAAATTATTGATCTTGAGGCACTAAAATCAGTCATATAGGAAATATGAAGTTCGAAAACATAACTAGTTCTTTGAGGAAAAGTTATATTTACTGGTTTCAGAATGATCAATCTTCATAACAAATACAATGCTATGTTAATGTTTTTATAAAAACAAAGAATTCCTGGTGAAAAAATCAGTATTAGCCACTTTTCAAAAATAAAAATGCTCATTTTCAAATCACCACTTGTAACTTTGAAACGAAGATAGATATCGATAAGCGATTTCCACCAGTGAGTTCATCATGTGAATTGACCTTAGGGCACTAACATCAGTTCTCTTCTATAAAGTTCTCGATTTTCCTCCACAAAAGAAGGATTTTAGTGGGGTGCTTTTTCTGTATCAACTTTGTATACATTTTCAGTGGGATTTTGACTTTTTTTAGTATGCCTAATATTCATCTACAGCTGTCAATTTCCAGTTATTTCTTTACCAACTGTGCAATGCAATTGGAAACACATTGTCGTCAAGTGGCACTCAATCCTTTATTACAGAGATAAGACAGATATGACAAAACGACATTTCATTATTATCTTACAGTGGACAGTAAAAACAAAATATTCCAGAGTGTGGAGTCTTGATGAAAATTATATTAATTTTTTTATTCATTTACAAACAGGTCAACGGAAACTGAGAATAAATACATTTATCAATATAATGAAACTAAAAACATTTTTACAGAAAATACAAAAAGTAAAAAAATATCTAACTCTTAATATAATGAGCAGTTGGAAAAATTCGTTAAAAGCTTGATATGGCCAGTGGGAAAAAAGGTAAGACAAGTAGATTTTCTTTTTCAGTTGCACATTGTTGTTCTAATGACGTGATCACTTTTAGTTATGACGTCATTATCATTATTTAAAACGGCAATATCCATTTTGGATTGGTATATTGTGAATGCGCGTAACGGTCAAATACCTCCTGGGGTACTGAAATTTACCCTTAAGACGGATGCGGTGATTTCGCGCAACGGAACGATTGAGACTTTTTTCACGATTATGTATGGTTACATTTTTTCATTCTGCTCTCCCAAGTAATTTTCCGAAGAATATACTTCCTAGAAAGAAGGTTTATGTAGGCCGAGTTAGGTTAGATTGTCTAGATGAAGTAGATCCCCTTTCTATGTAAAAAGGATATTTCCCGAAAAATATACTCTCTAGGAAGAATGTTCAGTTGGGCTGCGTTAGGTTAACTTGTTTAAATAAAATTGTATTTTTCCTTCATAAGGATATTTCATGAAAAATATACATTCTATATGTATATACAAGGTGATTCTAAAATAGGTGGTCAAACTTTGGGAGCATATAGAGTGGGTGAAATAGTTATGAAAACCTCTGAAACATTTTTTTCTGAAGTGACCTCCAAGAAAGATACAGTCCCTCAAAGGGGGGCCTCGGAGAATGATTCTGTATCATTATCTCCAACACCTTGTATAATGAAAATCTGAAATTTTGTCCATCCACTCACTATTCAGTGCCGGTTCGAATGGAGTTAAAATCACCTCGAAATAAAATACAGGGGTGTGTCAAAATAGGGAGGTAGGGGATAAAAATAACTTCAACTTTTTTATTTATTGCAATTTCAGATTTTTGACATGAAATTATGAAATCTCAGGGCTATTTACATAGAAAAGGGGCTCTTGTTGCATCTCGATAAAATGAACTATTAGCGAATAAAATTTAAAAAAAGGTTGTTTTTAACAATATTTTCTATTTTAGAATTCTCAATAGGATCAGACCATAATCACGAATTCGTCGTCTATTTTTAATTCATGAATTCCGACAAAGAATTCAAAATTTCCAAGAAAAATTTTTTTTTTATGTAAATAAATGAAATGAAATCTTGGAAAAATAAATTTTATTCGATAATGGTTCAGTTTATCGAGATTCAACAAGAGCTCCTTTTCTATGTAAATAGCCCTAAGATTTCATAATTTCATGTAAAATAACTGAAATTGCGATGAACAAAAAAGTTGCGGTTATTTTTACCCCCTACCTCCCTGTTTTGACACACCCCTGTATTTAATTTTGAGGTGATTTTAACTCCATTCGAACCGGCACTGAATAGTTAGTGGACAAACAAAATTTTAGATTTTCATCATACAAGGTGTTGGAGATAATAGTACAAAATCATTCTCCGAGGCCCCCCTTTGAGGGGCTGTATCTTTCTTAGGGGGCACTTCAGAAGAAAATGTTACCGAGGTTTTCGTAATTATTTCCCTCACTCTATATACTCCCAAAGTTTGACCACCTATTTTAGAATCACCTTGTAGAATGTGCATTTAGGCAAAGTTAGGGTAAATTGTTTAGAGAAAAGTCTCCTTTCTAGCAATGAGGATATTTTCCAAAAAAATCTACTTTGTAGAAATAGAAAAGTAGTCCTTTTTTATATAGGAGAAGGATATTTACATATGGAAATTGAATGTAACTTCAGTTCACCATAGTCTCCGTCTACACGCGCCATCACAATATACCTTTTTTCGGACGTGCGCGCCATTGTACCATGGGCATAGGACACCCTGTTGAGAACCTTGACCGCTGCACGCGATAGCAGTCTACCCATTTAGATAATACCTACAAAAAAACGCATTTTTCCATGCATGGATGTCATATTTTTTCCTCATTTTCTCTCTCATGTTACATACCCGAATGTTCGAGAAATAAGAGAGATTTCATTCATAGTAATGTCATTTATGATGATAACTTCATCAAAAATATGAGTAAACCAACAAATGCGCATAAGGAAAAAACAATCGACGTGTATGAGCTTGTTTCTCTCAATGGCCACATCAAGCCTTTAACGAATTTGTTCCAACCTTTATTTGCTCACGGTATAATGACCACTACTTGAAGCTAAGATTCGTTGTTAGCACTAATCATTTTCACATACCCAAGTATTAGAGATTCTTCCTTATTCCCATTCTTTATGGAATACTCTATTCCTGAAATTATTCAATATTAGTAAATATGTGGTCTAATTATCAATGAAACTAAGACTAAAAAATCAGTTTAGGTTGGAATTATTGCGCTAATTTTTGACATCGGCTGAAATCAGATATACTGAACTTCAAAGATTGAAGCATTTACTGTGAATTGAAAAAACAAAATGAAAATTAAGTGAAAAATAAAGGGCGATGTTGTTTGGCACTTTTACAAGAAAATAAAAGTTGGGCCAGTTGAACATTGAACAATGAATAACACTTTTAGGAAATACTGAAAATATAGAAAAAACTTGCCACTGATTGTTTTTTATGTAAGTATCACATAATCATTATCTGATCACTCACCTGATGGTACATTGAAGCGGCTGAAGGGTTTTATTGCACAAGTACGATTGTGTACTCGAATTTCTCCTTTCCCTTCCATAACAAAAAACCACTGAAAAAAATATAAAATTAGTGCCAAAAGTTTTGAATGTTCTATAGAAAAATCACTGGACGAATTGTAAGTGCATGATTTTCTACATTATTTCCATCCGATCAAGATGAACATAACATTTAGTAAGTGAGTTTTCTCACAAATGCAAAACTATCAATACCATGACCATGATAGATATCATATCATGTTTGATCATTTCTTAATATATGTTAATCATTATATAGGGCGAGCGACACTCAATGTCTCGACATCATTATAAGAAAGGTGAAGACGATCGAAAAAATCTGAAAATAGGGTCTTATATGAGGTTGACTGAGGTTTATTTCGAGTTGAATTTGCTAAGAACTATTATTCTGGACAAACTCCATGAAGACAAATAATTTGCTATCATCTTTCGTTAAATAATTTAGATTATATATCTATCCGCCAGGAAAATAAAAAGAATTATTTTCTTCCTAGTAATATTAATAATAGTAGATTGTTTTATTAGGATCAAAAGTGACACTTTGTTTGACAAGCGATTTTTGCATTTGCGAGGCGGAGCGTTTAGCGAAGCCGAGCGAAAGCAAAATTTGCGAGTCGAACAAAGTCACTTTTGATCCGAATGAAACATGCTATTTTTTCTGCAACCGAAACAATTAACTCGAATTAACATGTGAATTAACCACCAAATAATGCCGTGCCATATGTATGCAATGCAACAAATATTGACAAATAATCCGTGTGGTGAGAATATTCTACCTGCATTAACAGCAGGTTAGGTTTTCAAGGATGTTAGAATTGTAATTTTAATATAAATACAACCACAGATCGAGTGACATATTTGTGTATGGACCAGGTGCTCTAATGGCAAATACCGCGCCAGTGCCAGCTATAGGAACAAGACGTGGAAAATGTTAGGTTAGTGAGCATATCAACAATGATAATAGTGATTATTTATTCCTCTCCATACTACACTGTGTTTGACTTGATAATCAAATGAAGCTAAACAATATCGTTGTTTGAGACAAAAAAAACTATTGCTTGCCGTGATTATTCAAAAACAAGTTATCCATCCTGAGAATAACGAATGAAATACAGATCAAGCAAGTATTTGAATCTTGAAGGCTTCCCTGATCAAAACAAAAATACTTGACTGAGATGTTTATAATTCCAATACTAAACTATAATAAGGTGTATTTATATCTCCAGCATGGGTATGAAATGCTAAGTCTGCTGAAATCGGAAACAAATCAGGTATGCGTCGCAACCCAAATAACCAACCGTCACAATGTTGTTTATTCTTGATGACGTCCAGTACATCCTTTTTAGTTCCTAGGAGCTAAAGTTCAACTTAAGCTCCTAAGAACTAAAATTCAACTTTAGCTCCTAGGAACTAAATATGTTGCCTAGCAACATACCTTTTTTTGTGTCAGTAATAGAAACGTCAATTCAAGAGCTAATTTTGCTATCAAAATGGACGACTTTTGTGTCGGTTGCGGAAAAACGTTCTTTATTGGTTATAATATACAACCAGCCATCGACCGAGGTCCTGCAGAGAGTAAATTCCAACATTCATGGTATTCCAATAATTTCATATGCATAACAATGTGATATTAAAAAAAAATTATGAATTTGAATTTATAGATCTTAAGTAAAATGAAATGTACAACCGATCTTCACTAAATGATGTAAGTATTCCTTGTATTGTTTTTCCGGGAATTTTAAACGTGATATCATGTCTCCTCTTAGAAATTAAGTGAGGTTTCAAAAGCTCCATGTTGCTGGTCTTGAGAGGTAATTTTTGGGATAACTTCCTCAGCCGTTCTTCAATTGGTTCTATTTTAGTTGTATGGTACGAATATTGATTTGAAGGGTCGTGTAGATGGTTGTCTCATTCTAGTTATTGTCCTCAGGGATCACGTTTCTGCAGTTTTTAAATTCCGCATGATAGGATTTCCGCAGTTTAGATATATCGTATGTCCGTAGACCAGCAAAGATCTGTATATCGATTTATGCAGGGTCCTGCATCTCACCTCCCATCTCCCATAGCTTAGTTATCAGTTGAGTCAGGATTTTGATACTTTGCAGAACGCAATTGCATGATAGAGGGCGCATACCAGGAAAATTATTTCGCTTATACAGGGTGTCCCAAAAAAGTGTGACATCATAATATTTTTTTTAAATGACATGCCATATATTTCGTTGCACATTTGAGTGCTTCTAGTTGTTACCTACATACTCCTGGAATTCAATTGAATTCGGTTCAGTGATATTCACGTAAAAAGAATATAACAAAAAAAATTCAATTTTGCACTACTGGTCAAAAACATTAATAACAAAAAAGTGAGCGTCTGCTGAATAGAATGAAAAGAGATACATGTCCAATAAGGCCTAAAAGGATCGCTAACCGAGTTTGATAAACACGAATCATCACAGGGTGTGCAAAATGTAGTGGCGAACTTTTTCAATTTCAAATTGGAGACCCTGTATAATTTCATGTCATTCGATGCGTGCATAAAAAACAAACTTTGTTGTTGTTTCAAACGTACCTAGGAATATAAAAATGTTGTAAATCATGGGTCATGTGCGAGAGATGAAGAAACAGGCACGATACGATACAAAAACAGGTAGAACGTGTCTGTGTAGTGAATTTTAGTAGAATAAGTTATCAATCCTAGTAATGGACGTTCAATTACAAATACTGAAGTTATATTTTGTTAGGTATTTTTCTGGAGTTCCGTTTATAGTTTTGACTAGGGTCCCTTGATGATTGACGTTAAAGTCATCCTAACAGGGTACGGACAGATCCTCGTCTCCTCTCACTCTAAAGTGTTTGTGAAACAGTTATATAGTTCCATCCTTATCCAATTCTGGGGATAAACACTAGATTTTTGACATTCGTTGTTCTTTAGGTTATATTGAGGTCACTGGCGTATCATACGTAATTTCCATATGGAATTCCTGATTCAACCATACCAAGATATAGATGAACAACCCTCTAGTTTTAGATTTCACTACTCCAGCATAATCTTTGCGAGGTAGGAAAAATATAAATTGTACCGAAAGCTTAATATATTTCACCAAAAGAGATTGTTCTTAGACTGTATACCAGGGTTGACTGCATTGACTAAATGAATTCTGATTTCAAGCTGAGCAGAAGTTTATCTATGAGCTGAATGAGCTGAGCTTTATCATTGAGAAATGGTGGAAACCTTGATATGGGGGTATCTGAACTACTGTACTCATGTCATGTGTGCTGAATATATTTTCGGAAATCCGATATTCGGAGAAGAATTTATGGAGTGACTAATATAATATCACACTATGTATAAAACTTCGTCTGGGACGAAAAGTAGGCTGATAAAAAGTAATACGTAAAAAGTGCAGCAAAAAAAATAGAATATACTTATGATTCTTCCGTCTCCCTTAAATGAAAAATCATCTTCGAATAATTTATTGATGGAAGTAACAAAGAAGTAGGTATACGCAGTATAACTTATAAGCACGTTATTTTCACTCATGCATCCTACATATTTTCTATTTGTGGTAGAGTAATGGTTGTCTTCCGCCATATTAGATCCGTCATCAATTTTAAAATTTTGACGAAACAATCATTATCTCCTACTCCGAAAACCCCCCAGATACCAATTTTGATAGAACTTCCCAATTTTGACAAAAATGAAGTTTGACCCCGAAAACCCTCAGATACCAATCTTAAATAGAATCAGATCATAATTAGAAATTTCTTTCGCTATACATTGGATCCGACATCTTAAATTTTCCAAGTTTGACGAAACAATCATTATCTCCAACCCCGGAAAACCCCAGATACCTTCAAATTCTGAATAGAATCGGATCATAATTATAAAACTCGTTCTCCATATGATCTTTCTCAACAAGTTAATACCCTGTACCTGTACATACCTATTATTGAAATTTTGAATGATTTTCTGTTGCGCCCATGGATTTGACGTGACAGCAATGTCAGGGATGCCAGTAGACAAAACCAAAGTTTCTAGATCATTAAAAAAGAATGCAGCTATGATCTGTCCGTACCCTGTTGAGATGACTTCAATGTCAATTTCCATCAAGGGACCCTAGTTTTGACTACTTCAGATACAAATATCAAACACAACGTCTAGAAATGTTACTTACCAATGAGTGTTTTTTCGCAGTGTATGGTTGTTTCATTCCACCAGGTTCTATTTTCAAAAAACCCGTGGTGGAACCATTGATGGCCTGCATGTCATCTTTGTTTGCTACAAGTTTTGGATCATTTTCTACATACTCTGAAATTGCAAAATAGAAATTATTAGTGGTACTGATGGACGAAATTATACAGCTCGAATCAAAAATTTGTACCGAGCTTTCTGGAGGTGATACATAGTAAAATGAAAAATTTGAGTATAGTTTGATGAATAAACTAATGGTCCAAAGTTGATAAAATTGAAATGATTTTCTCACATAACTTCTGAACATCTAAAGCTACCACATTGAAATATTAGATCCCTATCTCCACCCTAAGAGTAAAGAACGCCCAAAATAGGGTGAGATGGAATAGAAGGTTCACCCTCACTATTCCAAGCAGGGAACAATGGGAAGAGAACAGAGTGTATTTCCGCCCGGGGAGTCTAGTATGTTATACGGACGGATCGCGCCTAACTGACAAACAGGACTCAGGTGCAGGAATTTACCTAGAAGGAATAGGCATAAGGGAGAGCTACGCTCTTGGAAAGTATATCACAGTTTTCCAGGCTGAGGTCTTTGCCATTCTGGCAGTAGCGGAGAGGCAAGAGGTGAAAGAGGGACCAGAGCAGAAGATTTACATCTGCTCGGATAGTCAGGCGGCTCTCAGGGCTGTCTGCCATCCTAAACCATGCTCAGCTTTGGTGCAGGAATGTGGCGATGCTCTTGAGAAACTAGCTGAACAGAAGGAAGTCGAACTAGTATGGGTTCCGGGGCACAGGGGGGTGCCCGGGAACGAGGTGGCCGACGAGCTGGCTAGAATCGGATCCGCGACACCGTTCTGGGGACCGGAGCCTGCACTGGGCATAACAAGAAGCCAAACTTCGTCTGCCCTTAACAAATGGGCGGACAAGGCACTAGAAGTATATTGGAGACGTATAGGCGGCTGCAGGCAATCGAGAGACCTGGTGGCCGGTCCAAGCAAGCCAAAGACGGCTTGGTTACTGGGCAGGAATCGCCAAGTCCTGCGCCTTCTTATAGGGATACTGACAGGGCACAACAGGTTACGCAGACACCTATCACTCATAGGTGTGGAAGATAGCCCCACTTGCCGTGAATGCGGAGAAGATGAGGAGACATCACTTCACTTCCTCGGAGAGTGTGAGGCGTATGGAAGGATGAGATTCGAAATCTTTGGAGTAGATAAACTACAACAAGAAGATTTGGTCGAATTAGAGTGGACGGACATCCTGACCTTCATCAGAAGGACGGGATGGTTAGGTTATGATGCGAGACATGATGATATTGTAAACCCCGTCGTAGACTATGTTTTGAATTTTCATGAATTTTTTTAATCAAAAATTGACTTTTGAAATGAAAATAGGAATGAGTCATCTGCAAATTGAGTGTAAAATTCAAAATTGGATCCATAAGATCAAGTTTGATTTAACTCAGCACATATGGATAGTATAGAAAACCTGCCCAGTAGCCTCATGTTCAATCTCCCTAGAATTCGAAATTCCATAATTATTACCTGTTCCAGTTGATAAGACATTTAATTTAAAATGATTTATAGGCAATTCGTGTCAATGATGAAATGAGGGAATAAAGTAGTATTTTCGAAAAATTACTTACTCAATCTCACATTTTCTTGGTTCAACATAATATCTATAAATTCGCCACTCTTAAACTTGCCCTCAGGTGAAACAGATGCATTTTTGATTTTCGAAACCGTCCGAGTGATTCTATCGGTATTTTTTTTGTAATTTTTGGTTACTCGAGATCCTCTGGTGGTGTGCAGGTGCTTTTCATAGGCAGGACTCGTTTTAAAGGTACTTTCTCGGATGGTATCTGGGTTAGTGGCACTAACTGTGATAATGCTTGTTCCAGGCAGTTGTGAAAATTCGTCATCCATTTCTTGTACGTTATTATTTTCACAATGCTCAAAGTCTCCCTTGCTCGAAGTCAAATCGATCTGGCTGTTGAGCATTTCATGCGTCTCACGTCGGGATTCCTTTTCATCAGGCACTGCACTTTTTTTGGTCGACTTTATACGGTTCAATGACGGTTTTCGCTTCACTTTACTTACTGTTGAAGTAGTGGCATATCTAGTTGATTTTCTTGTTGTACCCTTCAGTCCTTGTGTCTCTTCAAGACCTGAAAAATTTATCCTAGCTAATTTCCAAACAAATTTACAAAATCGAACTTGATATGATCAGGAATGGCTTGTTATGCACTCATAGAATGAAGTAATATAGTCAACAGTGACACATGGCCAATACATAGGTTTTGAATATTGAATGAATTATAGCTATCCTTAGCTCAGTTAAATGGTAACGATAAAGATCCTCTCGTGGAAAAAAATTAAGTAGGCGGTATCTCTGCAGTTTTGTATGATTTTGGGGGTGCTGAATCTGAATCTGAAGTTTGCAAACAAAATTTATTGGAGCGTTCTGAGATATTCGCAAAAAACAGCGAATCTTTCGCACTTTTTGCAAATGTTTGCCCGTAACTCGGAAACTATACATTTTAGGAAATAGACCATTCTATAAAAAGTTGAAGTAGATAGAATTTCTATAAATAATTGTTATTGCATGAATGTGAGACTAACGAGTGAGGAGCTAGAGCAAGTTAATAATAGATCGAATTTGCGAGTTTTGCAAAAAGTAGTGTTCTTCGAAGGTTCTCGTAGATAATGCATAGTCTACGCTTTCTAGAAAAGACAGAAACACTGTGTGATGTGGAGGAGTCCTGACCATGTGAGTTATTGCTTTTGTCAGCTTGTATGTCGATTCTTGATTTGTCACAGTACTTAGGTATGCTTACATCAACTCAGAATAGAATAATGTTTTTCACACCTACCGATTGTTATTCGTTAGCGGGGGGAAAAAATAAGTTTCTACCAGATAGACGATGAGAGTACCCTGGAGAACACGATCTGCTCAACATGGTTCAAATGGGAGTCAATCCTTTGTTGGTGTACTACAATTTCATCCAAGCGTTGGAAAATCCAATAAATAGGTGATTATAAACATCGAATGAACCAGCAACGTGTTTTTTTCGGGTTTTGATATTCGAATTCTATTCCAAAAAATTCACGATGAGTCCATCTGTCTTTTGGCAGTTTTCTTATTTCAAGGCATGATTGATTACTTGCACCACTTGCACAGCCACGACTGAGATGTTTCAAATTGATATGGCTTTTGCACTGATGTGCTTTTGTTTTGCCCAAACTTGACGACGATAAATAGTTGAAAATCGCAATATAAAGTTCTTGTTACATCTCATTCAAATAGATGTCACTGTACGAATTCTCTTCGAAATGGAAATAGAAACTCAATTACCAGAATTGAATTAAACACTATCAAAAATAAACGTACTCACACCATTTCTGTATTTTTTTTTGTCGCTACTGTTGTTATTTGGTCCGATAGCCATTAAAAATATGACGATAACAGTGCCTTCTTCGGATTTTCTATGAACAAGAACCTTATGAGTGTCGTCAGTTTTTTACCAATGTTACCATGGCAACCAGCCTTGATTAGGAACACCATATTCTTTTAAACAACTCGGATACGATCAAATTCACCAAATAAGAACAAACAGTCAATTTGGAAATAATTTTAAAAATGTCAGTCCAAGACAGACTAGTTTGGGAGGTTATAATAACATATTCTCTTCTTCTTCATAAAATAATGCTACTAACATGACCTCAACAAACCAGTTAAAAACAGTCTTGTCAACTCAAAAACTCGCCATTTTACAACAATTTTGCTATCACTTAAACTTATAATGAATCTTGCAGTTAACCCATCAAGGACTGGTGTTGCCATACGGCAACAGAAATTATTAGTTTTCTGTAGCTCAAAATTCAATATATTGAACACTAAAAAAATAGATGACGGCATACACGGCAATAGTTTGTTGCAGTGTCAGTTGACAGAACCGTGTGATGTGTTTGTCTGTTCATTCCAGTCATATAGAAACACGATTTTATAATGGAATGTCAAGAAGACTCCTCAAAAATGGATATCAAGCTCACGTTAGTATAAATACAAAGAGATTGATACAGTTTTCGATAATTCATTCATTAGAATAGCTTCATCAATACATTATCAACGTAACAGCGACCGAATAACAAGAGTTCGGTAGAATTCATCTATATCGTGGAGCTTTGAAGCTCGATGTTGCCATATGGCAACACGAGTCCTCTGGGTGAACTACTTTTTTACATTTAATTTTTCTTGCGGTGGATTTTCAACAATCTGGCCGTATCTACACTGCGCAGATAATATGCATTAGATCTACTACAACAAAAGTTTTTTTGGATTCAGATTACGACGAGTGTATGACCAAATACTTTGGAAAACACTCATGCAAGCAATTTATCCGAGGGAAACCAATCAGGTTTGGATACAAGATATGGTCGCTAAACAGCAAATACGGATATCTTTTTTACTTATATAAAGGCAAAGATAGGCGCGTAAACGGAGAATACCAAACTGTGTTTGGAAAACCTAATGCTCCAGTGCTGATGCTTCTGGTTGAGTTGCCAGAAGCAAAGAAAAAACAGCGATACAACCTTCTCACAAACAATTCATTTACAAGCCTTTACCTTCTTAGTCATCTGAAATCAAGGAGTTACTCATCCACAGGAACCATCCGCGACAACCAAATCCCTAAAAATTGACCGTTAGTAACGTGATAACATGATGACTTCGATTCTCCTGTGGATAGAACTAACGGAATTTTACTAACTCGTTGGAATGACAATAATGTAGTTTCAGCAGCTCAATTCGACTAGAGTCACTGGATGGTATTAGTTAGATAATTCGACCAGACATGGGATAGCCTCACTTGCTGGTGTCAAACAATATTCAGCGAAGGAGAGAAAATTGTTCAAGTAACAAGACCAAACTTGATATCCAAATATAATGCATCAATGGGTGGCTTGGATCTGATGGATGAAAATATTACACGCAAGAATGTCGTGGTGGTGTCTTTTCGCGATACAAAATGCCTGGGTCCTGTACAAACATTTTGGCAACAAAATGACGCATCTACAATTTTGTGGAGAAATTGTCGAAACGTACCTCTACAAGAATCCACCAAAAGGAAAGGTATATAGACCATCTGCAAGTAAATCGAGCAGATGGTTCAGCTGTGTTGGTGATTGCGATATGATGATATAGGGCACCTTCTCACTCCAGTATGGAAACACAGCAGTGTAAGTTACTCGCGTTGCCATATGGCAACACCAATTTTTGAAGAAAGTAAGATGAATTTCGATATATTTCGTCGAGCAAATCTGTTACTTATGTTCCGGAAATACAGTTCAAAAATATGCTATTGCAAAATTCTGTACAAAATAAAATCTGTCCTTAATGGGTTAATGTTCAAACAGAATACCTACCCTTTCCCTATCCTCCCTATGTACGCACGATGTTCCTCTAACGTTATAGGGACGATCCACAACATAAAAAAATGTCATGATCATAAAAATATTGTTAACTTAGCAATTTTATAACAAGACAAGATCGGAACAGAATCGACCCTGTGTATCGTACAGATTCTGGAAAAATGTGCATAAGATCGTTGTCAAGGAAAATTACCGGAAACCATTTCTTCAAGCAACTTTGATATATTTTTCAGAACAACAGTTACGAAGATATCGCCGGTCCCGCCCTTGAACCGAAACCCAGTACAGGGTGTCTCCGTATATTTTGACCCCTATAAACGGGGTGGAAAAGAACAGATCTCATCTGTACTAACTTTCAGCACTCTTTACACGAACAGATGGATGCAAATTGCAAAATGAAGAAAAAAAGTCCAAATGAGTTTTTCAGTTCAGTATCATACTGGGGTGGAAATAAATTCTGAATTGAGAAAACCCAATCACGAATTTGTGATTAGAGGTCTGTAAAATTAACAAATTTTACATCGTTCAAGTTTACTAATATTTCCTCAAGCCATTTTTCACTTATAAGCATTGAATCAAAGTTGCCAATAGCAATTAAATGATGGCTGTGGACACATCAGAAATGCAATGGAAACGAAACAGAATTTTTTTTTATATCTCTGTCGGTTTTTCAATTGAAATGGGTTATTCGGTAGAGGAAAAATAAGAGAAAATAATTAAATATTATGAAAATTTTGCAAAAATGTCAGTAATGTTGCAAGAATTTAGTGGAAAACGGCTTAAGGGAACATTAGCAGATTATATGCAGGGTGTTATTCAAGTCTCTGACCAAACTTCAAGGGGTGATTATTTTTGTGATTCTAAGACGAAAAGTTCATATAAACATAGGTCCAGAAATGCTTGGTTTTCAAGATACAGGGTGTCAAATGTTTCAATAAAAAATCGTTTTATTATCAATTCTGTTTGCCAATTTTAATGAAATTTGGTGATTTTTTCAACAGTATCAAGAAGCATCTTTTGGTGTAATTACATTCGAAATAATGATACCAGTTGCGTCGCAGTGGGCTACCTTTTCGATATTTATGGTACCTACGTCATAGTTTTTTCCAAGTTCGACATTTCTTCATCAGATTAAACAATTGAAAATAAAACTTTCTTGTCTCTTATTAATCTTTTGTATATCTAATCGGCTAGTTTCTGAGGAAATGATGAAAAATTGATTTGTCTCCAAATTTTAACGAGTATTATTGTGAAATTTTTAGACTTTTTCAGTCACCAACCAGACTCAATTTTGCCATAACAACAATCCATACTTCCAAATCAAACACCCTGTATCTTGAAAACGAAGCATTTCGGGATCTTTGTTTTATGAACTTTTCCTCTTAGAACCACCCAAATAATCGCCCCTTGAAGTTTGACCAAATACTTGAATAACACCCTGTATATTTGTGAGAGAAAAAGATCTCTCACTATACTTGAGAATATACAGGGTTTCATTTGAAAAAACTGATTTCGACATTTATTTTTATTTTGCGATTCGCGTTTGTTTATTTAAGGAGTGCCAAAAGAAAGTAGAGATGTAATCCAACAACTTTCCTAATTGACTTATTTTTTACAACCTGCGATAGTTGAAGCTGTAGGTAGAGGTCAAAATATAAGGAGACACTATAAGGAAACAATATCGAAAACGTATCTTGTTTCAAAAATAACTGTATTTGACCTACCAGCAGATGCTATCCCCGCAGTATCATTCGCTTCAAGATTGGCAGTACTGCTAGAAACTGTTTCACTTAATGCACTATCGTATTTCATCTTGTAATTCCTCTTTATCACAGATTCTTTGGTGGTATTGTGATAAATTTCATCCATAGTGTTTCTGTTCAAAACACTCATTTGCATGGTATCTTGGTGAAGGGAACTAGCGGAATCACTCGTTCCCGGCAGTCGTAAGTAATTGGCCTCCGAGTCTCGTTCGACACAACTTTCCAATTGCTCAGCGCCATCATTGCTTGAAGCGATTTGATCAACCCGTTTTTCAAGGCGTTTTGATGGCAGTTTTGATTCTTTCGATTGCAATTTTGATGTCAATTTTGATACTTTCGATGGCGATTTTAAAACTTTCGATGGCGATTTTGAACGTTTCGATGGGGATCTTGAACGTTTCGATGGGGAGCTTGAACGTTCCGATGGAGATCTTGAACGTTTCGATGGGGATCTTGAACGTTTCGATGGGGATCTTGAACGTTTCGATGGGGTTCTTGAACGTTTCGATGGGGTTCTTGAACGTTTCGATGGAGATCTTGATCGTTTCGATGGGGTTCTTGAACGTTTCGATGGGGATCTTGAACTTTTCGATAAGGATTTTGAGGTCACTCTTTTTCTCAGTGTCCTTGTTGGGCTATCAGCTTCATTTTCTTCACTTTCTCTAGTAACTTTCTTTTGCGTTTTTTTGGTCGATACGCTTGACCTAGATTTCTTATCAGATAATATTTCTGAAAAATTATTCAAACTTCAATCATTTGATATCATTTTTTTTTTCAACATTTTTCATCATTATTTCTTATACATTTTCGATAATGTCAATTATTCAAACAATCAATAAAGAATACTTTTCAAAGTCGGTGATGTGGAAACAGATTAATAAAACAACAATCAAAATATACATACTGAAATCAAAATTAAAATATGAAATATAAAGTATTATTGTTATAGTCTAAGATCCGACTGCAAGATTACTACGTTCCTCTGTTATTTAATGAAAATCATATTTCAACATATATTCATGAATAGGAGAATATATTTTTATCGGGTTGCCATTCGCAATGTGGCTTTCAATTAGAAGTGAGATGAAGTGCTTTCATAGTGACAATATGTTCACATTTCAGTTTCACAGAACTGTAATATACACCTTGGTAGTGAGGATTATTATTACCACGGGACCTTTTATACCCCTAGGCTGAAGCCTCAGGATATAATCTTGATCCCTGGGTAATAATGATATTCTTTACTAAGTAACTATTTTTCTGTGACGGGAAAAGTTTGACATTCCATCTCTGTTGACAGGTTGTAACATGCCACTTTTCATGAATTACTTTTTTCCCGGAAATATATATACAATGTTGATGGCTTTTGTCGTGCTAGTTCCGAAAAATGAGCCAACAACACCGTCTTCGAGAAAGAACTACAAGTGCTTTTATCTTCCAATCCACTTCGCGGTTAATCAAATTACTATAAACAACCACTAAAACAACAACGGACGAATCAATATTGAGAAGATACTACATAATATCAAAATCAGAAAATTATCGACGTGAAATTTGAAGTTTTTGACAGGAATTACACCTGCGTTTCGGGCATCTTCTTGCAAGCATCTTTATCATTCTTTTGAAGTAATCAAATATCTGGCAATTCTGTGATTTGAATTTGCAAATTTACGAGATTTTGCAAATTTGCGAACTTAGTGGTTGTTTATAGTAATTTGAGTAACCGCGAAGTGCAATGGAAGATAAAAGCACTTGCAGTTCTTTCTCGGAGACGGTGTTGTTGGCTTATTTTTCGAAACTAGCACAACAAAAGCCATCATTGTATATATAACCTGTCAAAAGAGATGGAATGTCGAACTTTGTTTCCGTCAAAGAAAAAAGCATCATTTTCCATTCAATGTGATATTTCACTCATATTCAGACTTCTTAACTACTGACTTGATTTTGACTAATAATAATAATAATATGATATCATATTTTATACATAGAATGTACAGGGTGTCCCACCTCAATGTGTCACCTCCCTTCATCCTCGTAATTCTCAACATATTTTGGCCATTCAAAATAGTTTTTGGAATATTCTCTCACGAATTTTTTGAATCTGTATATATATATATTTGAATTCAGATTGACGGACTTCATCGAATGATGGAAAAAAATATGAATCATTTCATTACAATGTTTTCTGAGCTACCCTGTAATTTGTTGATATAAAATAATAAAATATTCCAGAAAAGTTTTTGAATTACCAAAATATGTTGAGAATAACGAGGATAAACGGGGGTGACACATCAAAGTGGGACACACCCTGTACCTCGTAATGTACAACTTGTTACCAATTGAAAATTATCTCAAATCAAAAAACCACACCTTTCCTTTGATTTCATCCACCCAAAATTGACAAATTTTGATTACGAAGACTCACCACAAGTGTATATTTGATATCTGTGGACGGGTTGTCTTCTCGCTCTACCAGATTTTCTGGTGCCTGAAAAAAACTAAGATACTCTCAATGGATCAATGTACGATCAAGTTTTACCTTCAGATAGCGCTTCATTTGGCACGTTTGACAATGGAGTTATATCTGAAAAATAATTATCTGTGTCATTGTTTAGGACTTTCTTATATTTTATATATTTACATATTTTATATGTATTTTTCATTCTAATATTCATTCTCTGATGAGAGGATATACAGGGTGTTATTTTAAACACGAGGTCGAATCCGTCAAGCAGAATTGCAAAATTCGAAAAACATATTTTTGAAATAAAGAACGATGTTTATCATCATTTTCTTCAAGATGGCTGTCTTTCAATATTTTTCTGGATAATGAACTGATCTAAACTGGTCAACATTGATAACGTCGTGGTCCAAAATATAGCCTAAATTCAAAGTAGAATAACTCACGAATTTCCCTACCAATTTGAAATCGGTTTTTACCGATGATCAGCCTAATCTCTCGACAGTTTGTTGTGGCAATATGAAACTTCTGTAATTTCAGATAACTTTGCTACAGGGTGATAATTGAATGGGTGTAAAATTGCATCGTGGTCTTCACCTTACCGTTTGAACAGATATTTTTTTTTTTTTTGTTTTCACCTGTATTGATGCTTTCTCTCGAAACGTTTTCGGAATTTTCAAATTCAGAGCTTTGATAATCGTGTTATGAATATTCATTCGAAATGATGCATTTTTTCTACGATTGATTGAATAAAATTGGAAGTTGTAATTCTTTGTCGAAGAATCAACCTTGTATGTATAGTCGTCGGATATGTGATCGTGTTCGAACACAAAAAAAAATCTGAAGTAGTCTATACAAAGTGATACAAGAAATACTGAATGATGAAATTGAGCATAACGTAGTCTTCAGTAGATGAAACATGATATTCTGTGTTATTAGTGAAATAATGGAGTGTTACTTCGTCATGAGGATGTCTGGTGTCTGACCTCGAAATGGTTTTGTAATTTCTCGTATCGACGGTCATATAAGGTACGCATTTTTAATCAATATGAAGCATTTTCGTTAAGATAAATTATTAAATTCAAAAAATTACGATTGTAGTTCCAGAAGTTTGAAATTTATATTTATTCTTGAAGATGGATATACAAGGTGCGATAGAAAATATGTCCAGATTGTCCCGGGATGAAGAAGAATATGTTCAACGTTTTGAATGACTATTCATAACACGATTATCAAAGCTTTGAATTTGAAAATTCCGAAAACGTTTCAAAAGAAAGCATCAATCAAGAGGATACAAGTGAGAAATAACATTAAAAAAATTATCTGTTCAAATGGTAAGGTAACGACCACGATGCAATTTTACACCCTTTCAATTATCACCCTGTACCAATGTTATCTGAAATTACAGAAGTTTCATATTGCCACAACAAACTGTTCAAGAGATTAGGCTAATCATCGGTGAAAACCGATTTCAAATTGGTAAGGATATTCGTGAGTTATTCTACTTTGAATTCAGGCTATATTTTGGACCACGACGTTATCAATGTTGACCAGTTTAGATGCAAATTAGAGCTATTTAGAGCCTGATCAAATGGTGTATATTTACAAAGTGCAATAAAGGATTGGTTATATTCTAGATCCGACACTGTAGGGAGACAACCAAAAATGGTATAGTCCCAAACTAATGCAGCAAGTATCATGTCGCACTAACTGCAGAGACGTAACTACCAAAGTGCTAGGCGGTGCCGTGCACCAGGGCCCATAACCTGACCAGCAAACCTCGTATTGTGGGTGTCAGAGCTGGGCATTATTTGTATTTACAAAGACTTTTTAGTATTTAAATACTTTTTGATATTTAAATACCGAGTATTTAAATACTTTCTGCTTCAGGAAATTATATTTATATGTTGGAATATATTTATAACTTAGAATTTGCGAATAGTTTCGCAAAGTATTTAAATATTTACAGGCCAGCGTAGCCTCGTGGTTAGAGCGTCAATGTTCTATCCACGTTGGATTACCGGTAGTGGGTTCGATTCCCACCACGACCGCAGAAATTTTTCTGATGGCCTAAGAAAATGTTTGGGATCACAGTTAAAAGGTAAGACCCCCGTCATTCCTTGCTCGCACAAGTCTCTTGAAGACTTCCGAGGGTTGCTCGTAAGGGGGCAACCGAATGATCTGAAGTATTTAAATACTTTCGGAGTATTTAAATACTCAAAAGTATTTAACTATTTCAAAAGTATTAAAATACTCGTGAAACATTCATATACTGTGGAAGTATTTAAATACTTAGGAGTATTTTAATACTCCGAGAATAATTAAATATTTAGATTCTGACTAACGGCCATCACGGCTATGATATCATCTAGCTTTTCAATGGTGGATTTATTTGCACCAATCTGACAATGATAATTCATACATTTTCAGAGACGAGGATCAAAAACCCAAAGAAAACGAGTAAAAATAAATGGTATTTCAGATTACCAATCATAGGTAAGTGAGTAAGTCAGACTTTCCAGTGGAGTACAAATAGTTATTTATTATTTCATACTTTTGCTATGGAAACTGCCTCAATTACTCAACTACATTACACAAGGTGGTTAAAAGCGTTAAAAATACTCAAGTTACATGAATGTATTCAAATCCTTGAGAATATTCGAATACTTTGGATGTGTTTAACTTTGGAAGTATTTAAATACTTTGGAAGTATTTAAAATATTTGGAAATACTCAAATACTTCCTTTGAAAATATTAAATATTTTCAATATCCGAAAGTATTTAATACTTAATATTTAAATACTTTTCTCAGGGTATTTGACCAGCTTTGGTGGGTATACCTACTCTTGTTGATAATGATAAGGATGAACTTGATTATAAATTACTGAATTATTTTTATTTTGTGTGATATAATCAGTTTTAGTTTTTCGTTTATATTATGTAATATTATGTAGGTACATATTTTGATATATTACTTTGTGTTTAAATTATCTATGACAAAAAATCGCAATGGTGTGTCGTCCATGAAGCTTGGAAAGCACAGCTATCCTTACCGAAAAATCAGAATATACAGATCATTTTTATAAGTTCATGATTATGTAAACAATTATATTCTCCTGATTCAGTGCTTGGCGCCTTAGAATGTTGAACCAGTTGAACCAAAGATTAGTGAACAACTCAGCTGTGATTTCAACTAAAAAATTTGCGTTAACATACGCGCGTGTTCTGGATTTTTGAATATTTTAATTTGGTAGCTCTGTTGGAGTTGTTATTATTATGCAATTTTAGATTTGGAATGGATAAGGGTACTCTGCTGGAAATGAATTTTGATAACTGCATTCAGTTCAATTATCAATCACTGTTACGACACGATCGACTTTGACAACTTCAAATTATTTTCCGCCGAATATCCCTCCTACATTGACAAATGCCTCATAACGTTATGAAAAATGTTTCAAGCTCGTTGCTTGGTAAGAGCAGGAAGAAGCTTTCAATTGTCATAAAATAATCTCGTCTATTATCAATGTCCTAGTGATATTATTACTGATAATAACTTTGAGATGATCACAAGGGCGTTTCTTCACTACAAATGGAGGTGGAAGCGGTAAACAGATAGCTTGAGCAGTGATGCCAACCTGTGGGAATTTTCCCATATTATGGAAATATTTGTTGAAAAAATACAGAAATGGGAAAAAGGGGAGAAATACCGAATCAACTCATGATATGGGAATTTTCGTACTTGGCTACCTGCTGCTAGTCTGTACCAAAGCTAAGTCAACTTCATAGGTTGATTTATCTCACCGGAGTTGAGTTGAGTTAACTTATCTCTGTCTGTACCATTTTATGTTAGTGTTCTGATGTTCTGAGTTTCTGTGTCGCGTGTCCGACTTACATGAAAATAGCCGTAGTCGTTTCATGTTCCATGCACAGAACACAGATCACAAAAGCATAGAATAAGTGACAGACGTCTCGATTCTCGAAGATTAGGAGTATTTTCATTCTCCAAGTTTTTTCTCTTCATGCAAGTCATGCACTGTTTGAGTTTGAAATATGTACCAAAAGAACTTTTTTCAAATTCAATGTAAAAAATATTATAAATATGCACCGGAGTAATCTGGGCACCCATTTCTAACGAAAACAAAGATGTGGGAAAATCTTTGAAAAAATGGGAATTTCTTGACCCTTGCTAGAAAATTTTTATCAAAATAGGTTAGCAACACTGGGCTTCAGTCAGATTGCGAACCACAAGCGAAGGAACCAGGTGGTCTTGGTGGCTAGTCAATGTTTGCGAAAACTAGTTTTACATTCTTGTAATTTCATTCGGAAGGATTTGTTGCATCAACTATTGAAAAAACACATTCAAATAACTGGACACTTTCATGAGCCCTGTTTTTGTTAATTGAAAATTGAAAGAAATGATTCTACTAGAATCATACATAAGAAACAAATATATCTACATTTTTATTTTCAACTTCCGATATGGGCAGCTTGACCTTGAAAATTCAAAAAAATCTGACAGCGGCGCAGTTTCTCTTGTGCCGGCTTCCCCAGATACAAGGCACTGCGAAACATACATAAATTGAGATTTTTATCTACTCACTGCATCGAAAGTTAGCGTTTGCTTCCTCATTTAAGGACACAAACCTGTCAATTTACTCTCACCGGAGAAAATAAATATCACCTCCCGTGAGAGGTAGAATGAATTGGCTTCAGCATGCTTCACTGGTAGAGATATACCCAAAAGATCTGTGCTATCCAAGTACCGAATCAGTGTCTCCATGACTACTATACAGGATGTTTCAGATTTAAATCTATATACGATACCTGTAGATAGAGGGCACTTTGATGGTTATAAATCACCACCCATAGATGTGCCTACCGTCTTTTATATCGGAGATACAAGACGTTATCTTGATTTTGGCAAATTTTCATCTGGTCATATTTTGTGAACCCCTTTGTATAAATCTATTCATACTTGGTAGAAATATTTCACTTATATTAGCCATCAAAACTAAATGAAAATCGAGATCAGAATCCAGGTCCGTCTGAAGGAATAACAGAAAACTTCATTTATTTCAAAAACAACACTCTGTATGGCAACATTTTGTAGAAATGTTTGGATA